CAAGCAATACATTTTTGAAGAAAAATTCTTACCAGAAATGCATTCATGGATAAAAATTTTTAACGGAAATACATTCTTGGGAAAAAATATTACCAGCAATACATTTTTGAATAAAAATATTACCAGCAATACATTTTTGAATAAAAATATTACCAGCAATACTTTTTTGAATAAAAATATTACCAGCAATACATTTTTGAATAAAAATATTACCAGCAATACTTTTTTGAATAAAAATATTATCAGCAATACATTTTTGAATAAAAATATTACCAACAATACTTTTTTGAATAAAAATATTACCAGCAATACATTTTTGAATAAAAATATTACCAGCAATACTTTTTTGAATAAAAATATTACCAGCAATACATTTTTGAATAAAAATATTACCAGCAATACTTTTTGGAATAAAAATATTACCAGCAATACATTTTTGAATAAAAATATTACCAGCAATACTTTTTTGAATAAAAATATTACCAGCAATACATTTTTGAATAAAAATATTACCAGCAATACTTTTTTGAATAAAAATATTACCAGCAATACTTTTGGAAAAGTATTATCAGCAATAAAAATCTTGCCAACATTAAATAATTGGGTTGGGGTTGATATACCGTAAAACAAAACAAAGCAAAGCAATCTACTTGTACTTTTTCTCTTCTTTTTCCAATAATGTGTTGTTAGTATTTTTTAAATTCATTTTTTACTATGAAAATGTATTGCTGCTATTTTTACTAGAAAAAAAAATGCGTTTTTATACGTTCATAGTGTTTTGACCCTTTTTGAGGGGATTAACTCTTTGCTCATAGGTGGGACCCTAACAGATGCAACTCCACCGGGTCAGGGTGTACCTGGGAACATCCAAAAAGATGAGGTTCCACCTTCCTCAAAACCTCTAATCTCTCAATAGAGGCTTTGCTGCCAGATGTAGTTTATCATCATACCGAGGACGACTGGCTCTGGTGAGAAACATTAAGAAATATATAACTCAATAAACAAACTTCTTGGAGAGTTTAGATTTTCCATACTTTTTTTTTTTTATCCATCCGTTTCTTTGCAGACCATTACGGTAAAGTTAAGCCTTTCCAAAACAAAAACTATGATCAAGAATTGTGACCAAAGCAGCAGTGGGGCCTGGCTTGAATCCATCGTAAAAATTCAGGTTGTGAAATTAATAACTACAAAACATTTCAAATATCTCCATATAGACATCTGTTATAAGAAATTATAATTATTTTAACAAATATAAAGGATAATAAAATTGAACATAGAATAGTTTGAACTTGAGATAGTTTTCCCTAATACCGCAAGTTGCTACAGAACAGAAACATTATTCTTTAGATTATGTTTCGAGCTTTATTCGTAAATAGTTTCGTCAGATGGAGATTTTCTTATGGCTCACGTGCCTTGAGCGAATGAATCCTGTAGGTCTTTCAACGTCGTGATCCGGCGCTACAGAATCACAAATAATGAATTGTAAATAATAACAGAAGTTATGTCACTTGAGGACTTTCAATGACTAAAAACAACAAATTAAATGGATAGCAAATGTAACTAGCAGAGAGGTCTCACCATTTCACAGTTGAACTGGCCAAATGCAACCGTAAGTCCTATGCTAGCACTTTCTTCACTCGCATTTCGCGCTTGTGGAATTCTCTTCCGGATTCTTGCGTTCTAGTCAACTTTGATCTTGAAAAATTTAAATGCAATGTCAGTCGTTATTTTCTGTCTTCTTAAATTCCTCTTCTTCTATTGTTCTCTCTCCTTAATAACGTTGTTCTTTTTTTTTTTCATGTTTTCTCACATTCAGTAGCTTCTTGCGTCTTAGTAGCTTTCTTGCCTTACTTATACGTTTTTGAAAAATTATTACCAGCAATACAATTTTGAAGCAAAAATATTACCAGAAACAGATTTTTAACAAAACAAAATATTACCAGAAATAAAAAAATGTTGTCGGCATTAAATAACCCATTGAGGTTGATATGCCGTAAAGCAAAATAAACCAAACCAAACTTGCCTTGCTTGGGGTGAAATTATTTTTTTAAAAATGAGAAAATAATGACATAATCAAGATGTTTGCATTCCACATCACTTCAAATAAAAGGTTAGAAAGGAAACTCCAGTCAGTAGTGGAAAGAGAAATAACGGCTACTGGACTTGAAAAACTTATTTTCTTAAAAATTGTTTTAAGAGAATGATTTTATACATTTCAACCGACAGCAGCAATGGTTGCTTGGTCAATGAATGCCGAATGTTTCCTTATAAGGAAACCGATAATATTACTATTATCATTTCATATACACATCTAAAGATTATCTATGTTTGGTTTGGTTTGATTTGGTTTGTTTTGTCTTACGGCATATCAACCTCAATGGGTTATTTAATGCTGGCAAGAATTTTATTGCTGGTATTTTTTTTTTTTTATTGTTAAAATATATTGTTAGTGATATTAAACTTTTTTTTTATAATGTTTTGCCCAGATATTAAACTTAAATTTTTTACCATTGTGACCCCGACCCTAACAGGTGCTACCACCCCGGATCAGGGTGGACCTGGGAGCAGCAGCTATTAAGTGGTGTTTCCACGCTCCATAAAACCGTCTGGTCAGAGGCCTTGCTGTTTGATGTAGTTTATCGGCAAGGACGGACTATCCATGATTACAATGTATAACTCGTATTGTTATTTTACAGGATGATTGAAAAATAACACCCCATTTTAAAATAATTTATTTATTAACTATAATTTTTGCGAGAAATGGATATGAAAGGAATCGTTTAGCATGAGGTTTTATTTCAAATTCGATATGGACACCAGATTTTGCTATCAGCCGCCCAGAAATCGCGTCAACTGATTTCAGCAGGAACTCTTGTGGTGTGGAAGACATAACTTCTTGTATTCACCCCTAAACGTGTTTCAAATTCTTGGTTTGGCATAGACTTGCTAACCCCAAAGAAAAAATGTAACAGGGTGTTAAGTCTATACATAAAATAGAGATATATTTTTCAATCATATATATATATATATATATATATATATATATATAGTCATCCACAGACAGACTGTTTCGGTGTATCACAGCTCATCAGTGTAAAAGTAAAGAAGCATAGATATTGAAAACAAATATATGACTAGTTTAGATATACAATCTATTTATACAAACGTCCCCATAGATAAATGCTTAAATTTACTAAAAAAAACACCTAACAAATGCAAAAATCAAATTACCTATATCGACACACAAAATTATAAAAATGTGCCAACTAATAACCAAGCTATGCTTCTTTACTTTTAATAACCAACATTACAGACAGAAATTTGGTTTGCCAATGGGATCTCCTCTCAGCGGCGTTCTTGCATGTTTTTTTTTTAGAATTTCTAGAAAGTGACTCATTCAAAAATATTCTCCCTACAAGCTCTTCATATTTCAGATACATAGACGACTCGTTATTAATATATACACAAAACAGCAATTTAACGGATCTTCTCTCCAAACTTAACAACGTTGAACCGACAATAAACTTCACTTTTGAAACTGAAACCAACTACACTCTTCCGTTCCTGGACATCATATTACATACAAATAATAATGAACTCAATTTTGACGTTTACAGAAAGGCTACAAACAAAAATGATCTGATCAGTTTCTACTCAAACCACTCTTCAAAAATTAAATCTGGAAATATTATAGGTTTCTATCTAAGAGTATTAAGAATTTGTAGTCCTCAATATTTACTTAAAGAAGAAACATACATAGAAAACACATTCAAAAACCTACACTATCCATATCATTTCATCAACAACGCAAGAAGAAAGGCATACAAAATATACAACCGAAACAAATCTAATAACATAATCCGCAATAATAAATCACATGAAAACATATGCATAATACTACCGACCAATTCTGTCACGTCCACTATCCAGAATAACCTATCCCATCTAAATAATGTTGAAATAGTCACAAACACTTCCAAAACCATAATAGATATACTAAGATCTTCAAACAATAATAGCACTAATTTATAAAATAAATTGCCAAAACTGTTCATCCCAATGTATTGGAGAAACAAGTAGAAGTTTGAAAAAGCACATTTATCAGCACAAAAGAGACCTCACAAAAAACAACTTAGCTAATGCACTAGTCATACATAGAAATAAATTCAACCATAATTTTGATTTAAAAAATGCTACACTTATAAAAAAAAGAAAATAACTCACCCAGAAGGAAAATTCTGGAGAGTGCCGCCATAGAATATTACCCAAATATTAATTTACGCCCAGGTTTTTTCCCCATTTCACCTTTCTTAACAAAATTACTGCTCTTACAAACAAATGTACACAACAGATTCATAAAATCAAAAGAAAATGGTTGAATACATCAACACAGATATAATGACAATATTCTCTACATGTGAAAAATACTGACGTTATTTTCAGTTAAAAATATGAAAATAGCGTTTCTCTACATTGCCAATTGCTAGGAACATTCTGTTTTTGTTTTTATTAGTTACTTTGTTCAATTAATTTCATTTTCGTATTTTGCTTTGATAAAGTCCACATTGGACGAAACGCGTCAGCAATTAACAGTTTTCCTATTGTCATTTTTATTCATCTTCTCTACTGGTTAAATCAGAGAAATTTTCATATATATATATATATATTTCTTAGATGTGGTATTTCAATTATTTACATTGTTTGGATTGTTGTCCTAATCTTTATTGCCATATTCACGATTTTACGGCAGTTTGAGTGCTACAAAAAGTGACTTAACTCAAATAGTTGTGACCTCAGTACCTGGCAGAAGGAACACAAAAATTGTGTTAATAAAGAGAATTAACTGAAACTGAGGTATGCAAAAAAGCAGGACACGGAGAATTTAGAATAATCTACCCACGAGGGCGAGAGAAAAGGGTCCGGTTCGAAATTTCAAATAGTATCACCTGAATAAGGCCGGAGCGTACAACGGCAGAAACGTCGTGAATATGGCAACGAAGATGGGGACAACAGTCCGATCTATCTATCTATCTATCTATCTATCTATCTATCTATCTATCTATCTACAGTCTTTTTATATCTATCAATCTATGCCTGTTCTTATCTATCTGTTTATCTATGTATGTATGTATCTATCTATCAGTTTCTTCCTATCTATCTCAAACTGTTCTATCTATCTCTATCTATCTATCTATCTATCTATCTATCTATCTATCTATCTATCTCAGTCTTTTCATATGTGTGTATGTTATATTTCCTGCTTTGTATCCTGTAGAGCCGGGCCCAAACTATGTTCTCTAGGTACTGTAGCAGAAATGTCATTTAATTGATAGCACTTTTCTTAATATATAGGCTGTTCCTAGTAGGGCGATCTTCTGGGCCACTTATATGCTGATGTTACCTGGGACACTGTTAGTAAAATTCCCCATTCCTTTTCTCATGAGACCCAGAGCTTCAATTAATATTGATACAATCTCAGTCTACATTCCTTACATCCTGTTAATCTCGATCTCCAGGTCCTTATATTTGGACAATTTCTCGATAATTTTCATGGATGTGTTTCTCTCAGATGGTACTGCTATGGCAATAAGCATACATTTCCTGAAGTTCTTATCTCAGGTCTTTTGGCTTTTATTTCCCTGTCAGTTTGAATTAGCATGGCCCTGAGGATAGTTACATCGTTATTTTAGGTAATTTTGTTTGGTTGCTTCTCACACCTTCTCTCAATGGTTTCGATTTTGTGCTTCCTGCATAAATTCCATTGCGCATATGTTGCTACCTTGTTATCTCTGTGGGTATATCCATTTCTTGCTAGTTCTGGATAATCTGAGATATTATTATTATTATTATTATTATTCGTTTTTCTTTACGTGTCATGTGTTATATTGCAAATACCCTAAACGTAAGCCACCAATCCGCCACTGGGTGGCATGCCACTAGCGTTTGCCGCTGGTGGTCCGCTATCGAACCCTCTGCCTGTTCGTCTTGGCTATATTACTACTGGCGGAAGGCTAGAGGCTCACTGGTGGCTGCCGTCAGAAGACCGGTGCCGTTGCCATCGGCGCCCCGCCTGCGGGCCACTAGCGTCTTGCGTGTAGGGTAATCATATATAGATGCACCTCCAAATCTCTAGATGACCAGAGCTTGGCAGCTGATCTTTCCTCTGGCTGAGTCGAGAAACTAGTGGCTGTTCGCTTTCAGTGCCCCGAAGACTAAACTAGTGACTCTCCATCATCACCGAGAGGACCCTGAACTTTCACCGGTCACGATTAACGGACGTTCACTCAGGAAGAAGCCGCGACTTGAGCGCCTACCGTGACAAACACAATTCAGACCTGAAGGGGAGTTCGTACATACGATCCTTTGCTAAAAATGCTAGAAAAATAGTCGGAGCCTCTCAAGGTAGAGTGTTACTGTATGATGTTGTATGAACCCGCGAAAAGTCAAGAAGTTCTGTTCATGGGTTATGCGGAATAGATAGCTGATAAACACAGACTTGAAGAGATGAAGGTTGTAGTGACTGGGTAAAAACGTCCTATCTGTTCTACAAAGCAACAGTTCTTGGGAAGGAGCTTGAGTAGAACTTCCATCTTACTAATGGAATATGAAGGCAATTGGGATGATTCGTCCCCGTGTACGTGGTATGTCGTGACCCAGTTGTAAAGGTGAGGACTGGTAGCACTAAAGAATATAGATCATCATAAGTCTGTCTATATTTCTGAGATGAGGTATTATGTACAGTATTTACATTAGTCGGACTATTGTCCTCATCTTTGTCGCCATATTTGTCACAATGTTTCGGCCGTTGTACGCTCCGGCCTTCTTCAGGTGGTTGGAATTTCGAACTGAACCCTTTATTTCGATCACTGGTGTAGACTGGTCTAGTTTCACGTGCCATGTTTGATGGATGTCAGTTATCAGTTATCCCCTGCTAATTTTCCCTCTGAAAGTTCTCCACTGCCTTAACCAGGTATTGAACTCACCTTCTTTGGGGTCTGTCACTGGATCTAACCAACGTCTTTATCCACTGTGTCCTTGAGGACATCTGGGTATGAACTTCTGAGTATTATAAACCTAATGTTTTCAGCATCATTTTTTCGTAAACCTAAGGAATCAGCAATTATGCTAGGCCACAAAAATCCCGTGAGCCGACCAAGCATAGAAATAAATACAATATGGGAACCAGTAATAAGGAGTGCCAGAGACAAACGATAATAACAACAAAGTTGCAATATGAGCTCTGGTAAAAAAAACATGCAATAATAACAGCAAAATTGCAATATGAGCTCTGGTAAAAAACATGCAATGATAACAGCAAAATTGCAATATGAGCACTGGTAAATATGATTGCTGAAGACATTAGGTTTATAATACTCAGAAGTTCATACCCAGATGTCCTCAAGGACACATGGCACAGTGGATAAAGGCGTTGGTTAGATCCAGTAACAGACCCAAAAGAAGTTGAGTTCAATACCTGGTTAAGGCAGTGGAGAAATTTCAGAGAGAAAATTAGCAGGAGATAACTGATAGCTGACATCCATCAAACATGGCACGTGGAACTAGAACAGTCTACCCCAGTGATCGAAATAAAGGGTTCAGTTCGAAATTCCGACCACCTGAAGAAGGCCGGAGCGTACAATGGCCGAAACGTTGTAACAAATATGGCGACAAAGATGAGAACAGCCCCAGCCTAAATATGGCAGAAATCCTGTTTTAACTTTTCTTTTTTCGTTTTTTTTTTTTTTTGTTTTGTTTTGTTTTTTGTTTTTTGTTCTGATCCAGCTTTTTTGTAAAAATAGATTCTAGCAGTATGGAGAGTCAGATACTTACTGGAACGATACAATATACCAACCATTTTTTCAGCATTCTTAGCGAGAGATCAGATATATGAGTTTCACTTGAGGTCTTGGGAGTGCTATGTCCCAAGAGACGTTCAAGGAAAGGAGTCTCATTGAGAGAAGACACATCTATCATGATAAATGATAGTTCGGGGTCTGCTCCGGGATGGTGGAATGTTTGGCCGTATACAATTTTACAAACCAGTCGTCCCCACCCCCATTAGGCCACCTGGATTAGATCAAAGGAGAGCTGAGCTGTTTGGTTCTTCCTTCAATTTCACCTTCCGATCGATTTCAAACAACATTATTTGCTGTCGTACGGTTACAAGTCTATCATAATTATGTTTGTCACTGTTTCCCTTAGTTAGTTAGCATGTAGGTTACGCCCTGCCATTGCTACAGATAAACAACTGACCGTTCCAGGGACTGTCATATCAATAAGGTGGCACCATTTTTGTTTGTGGTCTTTAATAACAATATCTGGGCGGTTGGCTTTGATTGTTCTGTCAGTGTGTATTGTGTGGTCCCATAGAATTGTAACAGGTCCTATCTCCGTAACCGGGTCTGGGTAGTGTTCATACCATTTTCTTTCAGTTTCCTTCCTGTAGAAGTTGCATATTTTCCAGTGCAGATATTGGCCCACTATGTCATGCGGGGTTTTATACTCAGTGGGTGCCAATATCGTGTAACCTGATACAATATGATCAATTGTTTCTGGATATTTATCACAGAATCTGCATTTTGGGCTAACACAATATTTTAGTATATGTGCTTGATAATTTCTAGTTAACAAGCATTGGTCCTGTGCAGCAAGGATAAAACCTTCAGTTTCAGCTTTTATCCCTGCACTACGTAGCCACTGATGGATACGGGGGGTTGTCTAAGTCTGCTTGTTTGGTACGGGAAATTTATTATTATTATTATTATTATTATTATTATTATTATTATAGAGGGAAGAAAGGATATATCAAAGGGGCTATTTGGTTTTTATGGAAAGGAAGGAAAAAGAAAGAAAGAAATGGGAGGAATAAAGAAGGCAATAATGCTCTCATTTGTTTAGCGTCTGCTTCAGTGAATGAGAAAACGTCGATTTCTAATATTTTCATTTGTACCCTCTTACTTCTTTAAATAATGACCTGCATTAACGGAGAAAATTCAGTGAAAAATTCACGATTTTGTTATTTTCATTTTCTGATGAAACATAATTTAATGAATGATTTTAAGTTCAGTCAGTTATATACCATGACGATACATGATTTTTTTCCGCTGTAAGTTGCTATTTCTTTCTGCGGTAGACCAGTTGCCATCCAAGGCTATAGAACTCACTCTGCCCTGCTATCTACCCATAGCTGGGAAGAGAAGAAGAGGATTCATCATACCTTTCCCAAGGGTCATTCAGTTATGTGCCATGCGTGATACACGCTTAGGCGATCATGTATCTTTTGATACATGACTGACGAGGCAGATTTTTTCCCGCAGTAGGTTGCCATTTCTTTCTGCAGTAGACCAGTTGCCATCCAAGACTATAGAACCCAGTCTGTCCCGCTATTTACCCATAGCTGGGAGGAAAAGAAGAGGATTCATCATACCTTTCCCAAGGGTATAAGCACGTAAGTGAATATAATGGATTATAGTAGTATAATGAAAATTAAAATAAAAAAAATGCCATTAGGGGTCAGTACAAATAGCTTGTTTCGATTACCAACCATTGAACATAGACGTGTCCGTAAGAAAAGCAGGGTCCCATCAAATGAAGTCCAGTTCAGTCAGTTATATGCCATGCGTGATACACGCTTAGGCGATCATGTATCTTTCGATACATAACTGACGAGGCAGATTTTTTTTCCCATAGTAGGTTGCCATTTCTTTCTGCGGTAGGACAGTTACCATCCAAGGCTATAGAACCTGGTCTGTCCTGCTATTTACCCATAGCTGGGGGAGGGAGAAGAAGAGGATTCATATATTTCCCAAGAGTCTTAGCACGTAAGTGAATGTAATGGATTCGACTGAAATTCGAACTTGGATCTCCGATTCCTCAATCTAAACCTCTACCATTTATTCCGCAGTGCTTCCTCCATTTTAAGTTAATGATTGGAGAAACTCCTTGAGAATTATCCTAATGCATCGTTAAATATTTCGACGTAACAACTTAAGTTTGATTCCATATCATACAAGCCTCTCTCTCTCTCTCTCTCTCTCTCTCTCTCTCTCTCTCTCTCTCTCTCATTAGTGACAAGCGGAAAAAATGTCTTGAAAAAAAACGGGTAGAAGCCAACTTCCGGTAATGCTCTAAGGCATCTTCCGGTCGACATGAACATTTTGGGCGGAGGGCATATTAATGGAGGTGGGGTAGAGGTAAAGAAGTGCTAAAATCCAGGAATTTGCTCGACCGTGAAATGCCAATTTTTCTATCAATTGGCCGCTTGTTTGGAAAATAAGTTAACATCTGCCAAATTATACTCACATTAGAGGCTGAATGTTCGCATTTTTCTGAAAGGCATACACGAGGGAATGAGCCATGATAGCTAGATAAGGTTCAACTATATATATATATATATATATATATATATATATATATATATATATATATATATATATATATATATATATATATACGCACACACACACAAACACCCTTGTGAAAATTAATTGAAACAAAACGCATAATTCAGTTATTTACATTTTGTTCGTATTTTTCCAATGAAACATGACCCAGGGTACATGTTAGTACTTCCTATGTCCATTCCACGAAGTCGTTCCTTGCAGATTGACCACAGATTCTCGATTGGATTTAAATCAGAAGAGTTTCCAGGCCAGTACTTTGATTTGCTCACTGGAAAAGCTTGCCATGTGTTCGTGCAGCCAAAATTCTCTTGAGGATGAAATGGAACTAGTGTCTTTAATTTAATTACAAAATTAAAATCTAAGCTTTTAGCTTCCATTTTTGAAACATGGTTAAAATCATATTTTAAATCAGTTAATTTATAATTTATTAATATTTTGTAAAAATAAAAATATCTATAAGAACACCGGATTATATATTTTACTGTTCTTTCTTTTTTTTATATATTTATATACATATATATATATATATATATATATATATATATATATATATATATATTATTTATTTATTTAAAAAATATGATTCCAACACGCTACACTTTGGATTATTTACCTAACAAGTTCTTTCCTATTTTCTAAATATTTTCACACACACACACACACACACACACACACACACACACATACATACATATATATATATATATATATATATATATATATATATATATATATATATTCCCGAATTATCTGGGCTGGTGAAATGATTAAAAACCGAGCGCGTATCAGATCACTTTTTATATACCGGGTGGAACAGCATAATTAATCTCTGAACCGTTGTATCCTGGAAATGATTAAAGATATCTTACCGGAATTATTCGTGGTTTTTATAACAGTACTGGACTCTAGTTTCAGCAATAAGAATGTATAATTATTCTCAAAGCATAAAAGAATCGTGATGAAATCGATCATAAACGAAAATGAATCTGTAATCTTCTAACGCTCTGTCCTGGGATAACAATGTGCCTCACAGGTGTCAAGTACGATTTCATTTTTAAGTCTTTTTTCACTGCTCTTTGAACTGTCATAGCTGAAACTTCTCTCTTGCGTGCCAAACGTCTTATGGAATTATTTAGATCATTACTAATCTTTTTAACTATAAGTTGAAATGATGATGCTTCTTCCTGTTGTAACCTCATAATTTACTCTACAGTTACCTCTTTTTATAACTTATTCTCCGTTCTCTTGAAGGTTTTTTCAATGGACTTTGAAGATGGAAGCCAGACTATGAATGTTGGTACTATAACTCAAGGTCTCAATGCTCGTTTTCCTCTCACCATTGCTCAGTTGAGAAGACGGTCGGTCAAACACAAAACAATTTTAACCTGATCTCATATTTAGCTGAATAGCTGAAAGAGCTTTCAGTTATTCTTCCGAAAAACTGTTAAGATGCATAAACGACTTCTTTGAAAAGTTGGGAAAAAGGAACTCAATTAGTTTATTGTTTTTTTGTTTTTGTTTTGTTTTTTGTTTTTTTTTTTTTTTAGATTTTACACAGTTTGTATGATAATTATGCTGTTACATCTGGTATACATATATATATATATATATATATTGAACAATAAAAAATATTAAAAAATTAAAATCTTCAGACACACTGGGTTGTAGATTAATATTCTTTCGTTTTATTATTATTATTATTTCATTTAGATTCCTCGACTAGTTTCGGCCAAAATGGCCATCATCAGGAGAAGAAATATTTCTGCTTGCTGGTAGCAGTAAACTACAGAAATGAATGTCTTGATGGAGAAAATGAACTTTTGTCTGTAGTTTTCATTTGTTTTTTTTTATTTTTTTATCTTTTTAACGTGAATCTTTTAACATTCCTTGTATTGGTCAAACAGTCTCTTTTAACAGTATTTACATTAGTCGGACTATTGTCCTCATCTTTGTCGCCATATTTGTCACAACGTTTCGGCCATTGTACGCTCCGGCCTTCTTCAGGAGGTTGAAATTTCGAACTGAACCCTTTATTTCGATCACTGGGGTAGACTGTTCTAGTTCCACGTGCCATGTTTGATGGATGTCAGTTATCAGTTATCTCTTTTAAGTTAGTAAGAGCTGGATGGATCCATGCTGCTCTGAATTCCCCTGGTCGGTTTGACATATTTATTGGTTCCTGGATAGGGGATGTGTCTCTGTTAAGTGTGTATGTGTGTGTTATTTGGTTCTTAGGGAGTGAGTGAGTATGATGTGTGTAAGTATGTATATTCGTGTGGGTGTGTGTATAAGTGTGAAGCCTCAACACCTCCGAAAGCATGTCAGTCTTACACAGAGAGAGAGAGAGAGAGAGAGAGAGAGAGAGAGTTTATTTATTTAATAATTATTCATGAATTAAAACAAATTTCTTTACATGAATTCAAGTTTACAGATACATCAACATTTTCTATTGCTATTAAATTTGTAAAACTCTTTTATAGAAATAATCCTTGTAAATGACTATGTACTAATATGGGAAAAAAATAAAGATTTTCAAAAATACATGCATATTATTTGGAATTAAACATTTGTGGTTGCAGGAGGGCTAGGTGGTAGCATTTAAACAAATTCGAAGAAGCTTGAAATACAGGCACAACAGAAAAAGAAAATTGATTGAAAACCAAAAAAAAAAAAAAACGCCATTATGAAGTCTATATCTAGCAATTTCTACCGAATGTCTAGCGGTACAGCATGCCGTTTCTAGAGGAGTGAATTGCAGCAGGATGCCCTTTTTCTCACAGATGGTTCCCAACAGACCCTTCTTTACTGTGCAGTCGACAAATGAAAAATACACAATGCTCATGCACGAAATTAACAATATAAAATGGCGACAATTTATCTATCGCACCCTATATATATATATATATATATATATATATATATATATATATATATATATATATTCTAAGCGTAGTTTAGATGTGGCACAAGGCCGAATGAATAGGGCGATGTCCAGTGAGGATGTCCCATTCTTCCGGCCTTGTACCACATCTAAGCTATCAATATATATATATATATATATATATATATATATATATATATATATATATATGCCCATTGAGTGTCCTAATACTAATGTGATATACATTGGGTCTACGAAGAATGAATTTAAGGCCAGATGGAGGCAGCATAAGTGCTCTTTCAACAATATAAATAAAAAGAAATCAGACTTCTCTATCTAAATATTTTGGCATTTGAAGGAAATAAATAGGACACCTAAAGTAAAATGGAAAATTATAAACAGGACTAGAACTTGTAAAACTTGGGATGACCCATGCCCTTTGTGCCTCCATGAGAAACTGCACATTATTAAGTTTCTAAATAATAAAAATCTATTAAACAATAGACATGAGTTAACGGTTTTTTGCCGACATCATCAAATTTTTGCATTGAATAATTAGCATAAAAACAAACATACAATAAAATAATTTTTATAATCCATAGCCCTAATAAATAGTTTAAATACCCTTTATGAAGTCGTCAAAAAACAAATAAAAGTATAAATAATATATATATATATATATATATATATATATATATATATATATATATATATATATAACTGGTTATAGATGTGCGTGTGGCAGATCAAATATCTGATGAGACCCAGTTATCTATCTAGTAGTACGCTTAAATTCCTCCCATCGAGGCACCAATGAGAAGTGCTCATTAGAATAATAGTCATGAAAATATTTTTAGAAAAAAATAAAAATAAAAAAGAAGGGATGCCTCATTACGGCGGTGAGAAAATGACTGAAGACGAGATGCCAGATCAGGATCGATAACGTTGCATATTCTTGTTTGGATTTTGTCTAGAATTTCGGGATATATTGCAGGATCACCGAATCAGATATGACAGCAATATTCAATGCACGGACGAATGGTAGATTTATAAATGTGCATGATGGGTACTGCCGAGAAAAATTTTCTGGTACGACACGGTGAACGAATTTTCCTAGTAGGGAACTTTGCAAATGATTCATTTCATTTCATGTCAGTGGAAAATTTGAGAACAAGAAGCCGCAATGAGTCGTTCTGTTGGAGGTTAGCATCAGCCATGCTGATTGAAAAGCATAATGGATTCGCTAAGATGATTAAAAGATAACAGCATCGTTTTGAAGGCGTTAAAATTGACAAGCCCTTCCTTGCCTCATTTAACAACTGAGTAGATGTAATTTTGGAGAGCAACTGCCAGTTACTTTTACTCTGCGTCTAAGAGTTCTTTCTGTTTCCAGATTCTTTTTCCAAGGAATTTCAGCCCTCTTTTCTTAATTCTAACTATAAATGTTCTTTCTGTTGTCAGTTTCTTTACATCCTTGTCCAAGGAATTTCATCTGTCTTTTCTTGATTCTGAGTATAAAACTTCGTTCTGTTGCCATTTTCAAAACATCATTGTCCAAGGAACTTTTCTGGATTCTGGATTCTCAGTACAAAAGTTCTTTCTGTTGCTATTATCTTTATGGCATCCTTGTTCAAGGAATTTCAGCTGTCTTTTCTTGATTCTGAGTATAAGAATTCTTCCTGGTGTCATTTTCTTTGAGAGACCTTTGTCTGAGTAATTTCAGCTGCCTTTTCTTGATTCTGAGTATAAGATAATATAAGATAGGAATCCATCTCTTCTGCCCCCAGCTTTGGGTTAATTAGTAAGAATTATATCGCCAAACATTTATTAAGATAATTTTCTTTAAGAGATCCTTGCCCAAATAATTTCAGTCGTCTTTTTTTCATTCTGAGTATAAAAATTCTTTCTGATGCCATTTTCTTTAAGAAATCCTTGTCCATGGAATTTCAGCTGCCTTTTCTTGATTTTGAATATAAGAGCCCTTTTTGCTGCCAATTTCTTTAAGTCTTCTTTGTTACTTACGCGCTCCGTCCATGGAATTTTCAGCATCCTTCTGTAAAATGTTATGTCATCAGTGTGCATAAATGTCTCGTTGGCAACTGATGGAATTGTAAAAGTCGTTGATGAAGAATTGATTAAATAGAAAGAAAGATCATAATATAAAGTTTAGAATGTTGCATAATTTTGCACACATTGCGTACGTTTTTTTTTTTTTTATACTAAAAAAATTGTTGACGCAAACACCTCAAACCTGCAATGATTTCTAAACAACTTATTTGTAATGAAAATTCCCCCTCTCAGAAATTGGAACGACATTATCGGTATTAACAATACGCCTACACTACTTCACTTCCGGATTTTCTTTTTCCACTTCCGTCAGATTATAATGTTTTCCGTTATCGTCTTGTTTCTTATTTTGTGTTTGATTTTTGTTCTTTAAATTCTCCATTCCATTCATTTTGTTTCATAGGATCTATTCATCTTAACGAGTTTTTGTTTTGATTTTTTTTTTGTTTGTTTGTTTTTTTTATCGTCAATGTCTTCTGTTGTTTTCTTTTTAACCGCGTTTTGTTAATTCTACTTCCTTTTCTCTTTTTTTTCTGTTTTTATCTTTCCTCTTAAAATCAAAACCCGGCTCTTTTCTGTCCGTTTTTCTCCATACATTTTTGTTCCAATTATTTATTTTCTTTGCTAATTTTATCTTATTTTATTTATTTATTATTATTATTATTTTACTTCATTTCTACTGAGATGAAAATAAAAAAAAGGAAAAATAACTGGAAGGGTGGAGGTGTATATACAGAAGCCAGAGGCAGCGAACAAGAATTCACCTGTTTTTTTTGTTTTTTTTTCGTTTTTTTTTTTTTTCAGTACTTCCGAGGGTGAATATAGGTGACGTCTGATATAAGTTGTCTTATCTACTTCAGCACGAGATCAGATTGCTACTAGGGAGGAGAAGAAGAAGAAGAAGAAGAAGAAGAAGAAGAAGAAGAAGAAGAAGAATTTCCAAATAAAAGAGAAATAAAATAATGTAAAGAGAGGGGGTGAATACACCCTAATTATTCATGTATAAGGCGCACTTGTGTATAATCGGCAGGCTAAAATATGGTCAACGATATTTTTGAAAAAATAATCTTTCGCATACAATACGCAGACTTGTTAGAATTTGCATCAATTAATTATTTTTTATCAATTCAAGGAAGTCAATAAAGCTACTAAGATTCAAGAAGATGACTTAATGTGAGAGAATATATGAAAAAGAAGACATTATTAAGGAGAGAGTGCAATAAAAGAGACAAGATAACAACTGAAATTACGTTTAAATTTCTGAAGATCAAAGTTGACTGGAAAGCAAGAGGCTGGAAGAGAGTTCCACAAGCAAGAAGTGCGAGAGAAGAAACTGTTAACATAGAACTTACGGTAAAATCTACCTATTTCAACTATAACATGATGAGACTTAGTTGCTAGTAATAATAAATTGGCGGCAAATTTAACTTAATTAGATATCTTATATATCTATGAGTGGATATCATACGGATATATATATCTTAAATATAAATAGATTATTATTGCCATACCAAGATAAAATGATCTTTGAAAAAGGGATCATATTTTATTCATAAAAAGAAAATACAAATGTATTACGACTGTTGTAACCTAGGGAAGGTTACTGAATAAAATAATCAAACGAAGTTTAGTAATGAATGATAATACTTAGGACAAGAACAACGCATATAAGATTCGCCAGCGGCGCGTAGAAGTAGTAGTCAACTGCTAAAAGTGAGTGAATTCTACAATGAATCTCCAACGGCAGGATGTCCATCAAACGCCCCACGCGATCAGATGTGGCACAAGGCCCCTAGGCTCGACCAAAAATTAACCGTAGACCCTATATAAAACAGGGTCGGGTAGCTGTTTCCCGAGACGAGTCTCTGCCCTTCGACATAGCCTCGTTTGTGGATCCACTCTGCCTGGAGACAGAGTTTGAACAGCACAGCTGGAGACAAATCTCCAACTGCAGGATATCTACCGATCGCCAACGCGGTCAGTTGTGGCACATGGCCGAATTTAATGTGGGGTATCTCAGCCGATAGGCTCGGCCAAAAATTCCTCATAGACCCCGTATAAAACGGAGTTGGGTAGCTGCTTGCCGAGACAAGATTCTGGTCTTCGACATGGCCTCGTTTGGGAATCCTCTCTGACCCGAGGTAGAGAATTTGACCAGCACAGCTGGAGACGAATCTCCAACTCTAGGATATCTACCAACCGCCACACGCGGTCAGATGTGGCACAAGGATGAATTTAATGTGGGTTATCCCAGCCCGTAAGCTCGGCCAAAAATTACCCGTAGACCCGAACACCAACGCGGTCAGTTATGGCACATGGCCGAATTAAATGTGGGGTATCTCAGCCGATAGGCTCAGCCAAAAATTCCTCATAGACCCCGTATAAAAGGGGTCGGTAGCTGTTTCCCGAGACGAGACTGCCCTTCGACATAGCCTCGTCTGGGCATCCTCTCTGTCTGTAGGTAGAGAGTTTGACCAGCACAGTTGTAGACGAATCTCGAACTGCAGACCAACATACAGTATTTACTACTGTATCTATGTGAATGGTGAGATACTCATTATCGTCCGTAGGTATGCTACAACAGCAACGATTAAAATTTGAGGTACCTTTCGTGCGACACATCTTCAGCCAAAAATAATATCATCGGCAAATAAATCTTAGTGGTTGAAAAGAAAAATTGTTTTAATACCAGTTGTTGAAAATAATTTTCCGTTTCAACCACTTAGTTTTATTTGTCGACGATATTATTTTTTTTTCTGAAGATGTGTCAGCCGAAAGGTACCTCAAATTTTAATCGTTGTGATACTTTTGCACCTTTTCTTATGAATAAAATATGATCCCTTTCTTATAGATCATTATATCTTATATATCTATGTATGAATTTCCTCACATTATTTACATTATTTGGACTATTGTCCTCATCTTTGTCGATATATTTATTACAACGTTTCGGCCGTTGTACGCTCCTGCCTTCTTCAGGTGGATGGAATGTCGAACTGAACCCTTTATTTCGCTCACTGGGGTAAACTGTTCTAGTTCCACGTGCCATGTTTAATGGATGTTGGTTATTAGTTATCTCCTGTTTATTCCCCTCTGAAACCGGATATTGAACTCACACTCTTTGGGTCCTATCATTGGATCTAACCAATGACTTTATTCACTGTGCCATGTGTCCTTGAGGACATCTGTGTATGAATTTCTGGGTATTATAAAACTAATGTCTCAGCAATCATTTTTTACCAGTGCTCATATTGCAAATTTTTTGTGGCTGACCACATATGGAGAGAAAAAGGAGATCATCGCCCTCTGTGGGAACAGGTTGAAATCATAGACAAAGAACACCATTAGAAAATTCGTAAGCTTAAGGAATCAGCACATATGCTAGGCCACAAAAATCTCTTGAGCCGACCAAGCATAGAAATGAATACAATATGGGAACCAAGAATAAGGATTGCCAGAGAAAAGCGTTAATAACAACAAAAATTGCAATATGAGCTCTGGTAAAATCATGGATGATAACAGCAAAAAATTGCAATATGAGCACTGATAAAAAAAGGTTGCTGACACATTAGGTTTATAATACCCAGAAATTCATACACAGATGTCTTCAAGGACACATGGCACAGTGGATAAAGGCGTTGGTTACAGGACCCAAAGAGTTTAATACTCGGTTAAGGCGGTGGAGAACTGATAACTGACACCCATTAAACATGGCATGTGGAACTAGAACAGTCTACTAATAAAGGGTTCAGTTCGACATTCCAACCAAGGCCGAAACGTTGTAATAAATATGCCGACAAAATGAGGACAATAGTACCTCATCTCAGAAATATAGACAGATAATGATGGATTTCCTTAACCCAATTATACCAGATATCCTGTCAATCTAATATAATAAAGAACATAAAAGTGATCTTCGCATTTGATGCGAATGACCTGGAAGCTTACGACTGCATCATGTTGAAACACCGTAAAATCATCAAAGTTAAGCAACGGCGAGTCTGGTCAGTACCTGGGAATACTAGGTTCTGCAAGCTTGAATGTGCGAGTGGTGTATTCGATAATGGCTCGGAATTGTTAATCGAAGAGCAGAGTTATAGATATGTTGTTATATTCACATACGCACAGATATCCTTCTCCCCGAAGCTATGGGTTAATTAGTAAGAAAAAATCTTAAAATCTAAAAATGCCTCGAAAAATCTAAAAATGGAACGCCATGCCTCTTGTTAAATAGAAAGATAGACTATTATCTCGCTTTTTCTAGCAGTCAGTCTAATGGAAAATTATACTGAATTACAAGATTTGATGATGGTAATAGGAAAACACTCCACTATCTAGCCAAAGAAGTTATGGTAACTTAAAGACAAAGAGATGGAATCTGTGGAGAGCTATGACCAATTATTTTTATCTATTTTTTTTATTTTTTTATTTATTTATAATCCTTTTTTTTCTATCTCCCCATTCATGTTTATGGCCAGATCACCTTGAAACACCGGTTGCTGTATGATCAGCGAAGTTAAGCAACGTCGAGCCAGGTCAGTATCTAGATGGGTGACCGCTTGGGAATTCCAGGTGCTGTAAGCTTGGCTGTGCGGGTGGTGTAATGGATAATGGTTCGCTATTGTTAATCGGCGAAGCGGGTTCTACTTTCAGTTGCTTTTGTCATATTCACTTACTCGCAAATACCCTCGGGAAAGATAGAAATCCATCTCTTCTAACCCCATCTTTGGGTTAATTAGTAAGAATTATATCGCCAAACATTTATTATTGCCAAAAAAAAAAAAAATTCTTATAATTTTAAAAAATAGTTTCTGGCTTTAAATAACCTACCACGGGTTGATAATCCGTAAAAAAAAACGAACCAACCAAATACTGATTAACGACACGGGCATGTCTTTTAGATTTATTTATATTCTCTGGAATATAAATGCATCGAAACTAACGTGGGCACAAAGTGGAGGATCAGTTTATATACTGATTGTAATATAGAATTGTTCACCCACGTTATATCCATATATAATTTCTTGTTTCTTTATCAAATTCTGATTAGGTATGAATACACCTCTTCTCCCTTCTCCAGCTATGGGTTAATTAGTAAAACTTGTATCACTAAACCATTATTATCTAAAAAAACGAAGGAAAATTCTTACTATCTAAAAATATTTTCTGGCTTTAAATAACCTGCAAAGGGTTGATAAACCGAAGAAAATGTATCTATCAATCAAATGCTGACTAGCTATCGAGGCATGTCTTTCATATTTATTTACATTATCTGGAATATAGATATATAGAAACTACCGTGGCCACAAAGTGAGGGATCAGATTATATACTGATTGTAATATAGAATTGATCCCCCATTTTATATCTACATAATAATCTCTTGTTTGTTTATCAAATTCTGATTAGGTGTGAATCCAATTCTTCTCCCCCCAGCTATGGGTTAATTAGTAAGACTTGTATCACTAAATCATTATTCTCTCCCAAATAAAATCTAAAGTATTTTCTGACTTTAAATAATCTGCAAAGGGTTGATAAGCCGTAAAAAAATGAAATTTCTCATAAAGTTTCAATTGGTTTAAGATTTGGACTCTTCCTTGGCCAGTTCAATGTTTTCAGTTTGATCCAGTTCAAGAGTTTCTGAAGGACTTTGACCGGCGGCATGGAGCACCCATATGCACAAATACTGTGCACTGCTGACTGTGCATATGCAATTCCATTTTCTCATGCACTTATTACCTTGAACTTGGAGGCAGGAAGTAAAGTCCAGCTGTTCCAGATTTGTAAACGGCGTACCAAATCATCTGGTTTGGTGAGTTCTTCATTGTCTGAATTGTATAGTTTTCATCAATTCTCTTACCAGAGGGTTTTCTAATGTTTCTTTAACGCATAACGAAATGTTGGCAAGTCGATTCATCTGTAAACAATTCTGCTCTTGTCCTCCGCTATTGAGGTTTCATGTTGCTTAGCCAATGCGAGACGCTTGCATTTCATAGCTAGGGTTTACGAGCCGGTTTCAATGATTCCCGACCAAATCCCAGATGACGTAAAACTGTCATAGAACTGAACATTGTAACATTTTGAAGCAGAAGAGCACGTATCTTCTTGTTGGACATCGTATAGCATAGGACTCCATGTCTCAAGAATCGGGTCTACCATTTTTCCTCTTGTTTCTAAATGCCTTCGGAGTTTGAAAATTCACAATAGCAGCGTGCTCAGCTGTTGTGCTAGAGTTATTTTTACACTATTTTCTCATTCAGAATAGCCTCCCTTGTGTAGAACCACACTTTAGGCCCTTCAGTTAGGTTAGGTTAGGTTAGGTTAAAATAAGGATTCTTTCCCATATACTAAGCTTAGTTAGGGCACCTCGCCGTGGAGTAATGGTTAGCAACCTTGTCTCGCTAGAACAATTACGACTGAGTAGTGAGTTCGATTCTCACTGGGTACCCCCTAATTTCAGCCTTGTGCCACATCTAAGCTACGCTTGGAAAACACTGTACACCTCGGCGTGGTGTAATGGTTAGCAAGCTTGTCTTGCTATGTCAGTTACTAATTAGTAGTTGGTTCGATTCTCACTGGGTGCCCCATACTTTCAGCCTTGTGCCACATCTAAGCTACGCTAGGAAAATCTTTACTTCATTGGGTACCTCGTGGTGTAATAGTTAGCAAGCTTGTCTCGCTAGATCAGTTACTACTGAAAAGTGAGTTCGATCCTCACTGGACGCCCCAAGCTTTCGGCCTTGTGCCACATCTAAGCTACGCTTGGAAAATAACTATACTAAGCTTAGTTCGCTACACGAATACGATCACAATGGCTGCTAATTTAACATTTGAAAGCAAAAAGAAAAATTATAGTAACAGATATCAAAAAACAATTTTGTATTACTACTTACACCCGTGAACAACACACAGTTTTGTATTACTACGTACACCGCTGAAAATGATCTTGGAAGTAGATCGAAAGTACTTAGGAAAAGGGAAATAAAAGCGATTTTAATAATTATAGAACATTTCTCATATCATTTCATTTCAATACACGAAGGTTATCCATGAGTATGAACGGATGAAAAAAATAAGCAGACATAACGCCTGTAATTTATCTAATCAGACATGCCTAAAAGATAATTTGCTGCCTAAACACACACACACATAGATATATATATATATATATATATATATATATATATATAAAAAAGTTTCAAATTAAAAAATTATAATGTTTTATTTTATGAAAGTATTTATTTATTTATATATAACTATTTGATATTTAAATTAAAATTACTGTTAATTTTTCATGTAACAAACACTTATTACAAATAAAAATGAACAATTTGAAATATCAAATATATATATAAATAAATAAATACTTTCATAAAATAAAACATTATACTTTTTAATTTGAAACTTTTTTATATATATATATTAAAAAGTATACGTGGCTTCTCATTATGCTATATATATATATATATATATATATATATATATATATATATATATATATATATATATGTGTGCTTATCTATCTATCTATGAATATTTATGAAGAGAAGATGTATTTGAATAAGAGTAGCACTACAGACAAAAAGTGTGGGGGCCACTCTGTATTTCTTAAAAAAAAAAGCACCTTAAAAAGAGACATTTTTGTAATTCGTTAAAATAAAAGATAAAATATCAACTACAATATATTTGCTTTCATTTTGACAAAAATTAAACACTTAAGAATGTCATGCAACATATTCTGTTTTCGTCGATATAACCGCCACCTGCTTTACAAATTCCAGCTTTACAAATTCCTAGCATTCTTTCTGCAGTTTTGATAAAAAAAAAATCTTCCCAGACATTCTTTAAAATAAAATCTCACGCTCACTCTTTGAGTATTCTCCTCGCACTCTTTTATCCAATTCACCCCATACCAATTCAGTGGGAGAGAGGTTAGCAAATTGAGGCGACTGAGTGTTTTCGATAGTTGTCTTGTTGAAAGTGATTTTTTTTTCATTTATGGCTAAATCAGATGGTATAGCATGTCTCTGCAAAATACAATGATACTGTTCGTTTTTTATGATTTCCTTGACATGAATCAAATCACCAGTCCTTTAGTCTTAAAAAGGCTACTAAGGGAAAAACAAAAATATAATGTTTCTCATAAAATATTCATAATTTATCAAAATATATTGTCGACAGATGAATCCAGATTTTAACATTTTGATAGTAAGAGGAGCCTGGCGAAAGACTGAAAAATAAAAATAAATACACTGTAATTACTAAAATTTTATAATTAAAAAAATACAAAAATATCTCACTTTAATGTGTTTTTTTTTTAAAAAAAGAAAAGTCAGTTGAATTCAAACATTTGGTCTGTTTATGTTCATATGTTTAACTCTTTGCTTACATTTTAGTTTTCAAAGATCTCAAAATGTCCCCCTTCAACCTTGCAATATTCCTCGAACTTCTCCAGAAGAATATGACACACAGTACGACACAAATCCTGATCTGCATCAATTTCAGTAAATACTTCTGAGATGTGCTCATTAATTCGAAGAGTTATCCTTGCTGCACAAAACAAATGATTACTAACTAGAAATTAGCAAGCGCACATACTGAAAAATTCTGTTAGCCTAAAATTCAGATTGACCATTTTGTATTACGATATTTATTTCTGTTAAAAATACAGAAAATTTGGCACAAGGCCTAAAAAATGGATGGGGAAAGGACGGTCTTCATCTGTCTTAACTTTAAACTTAGCTAGCAGCAAACACTGACCCAAACATACAAACAATATTCCTAACACCAAAACAACACACTCTTAATAACCTTTCATACTAGATGCACCATAATACCTCATTGTCTCAATGAAAATCTTGTATTACGTTTCACGGTATTGGCACCCACAGAATATAAAACACGGCATGACAGAATGGGCTAATATCTGCACAGAGAAATATGTAACTTTTACGGAAAGGACTCTGCAAGAAATTGGTAGAAACACCACCCAGACCCGATTACGGGGATTGGATCTGTAACAATTTTATGGGAATTTACAATACATACAGACAAAACAAAGAAAGCTAATTGCCCAGATATAATGATTAAAAATCACGAAAACAGAATGTGCTTTCTTACTGACATCGTAGTCCCCTGCAGATGGTAATCTATCTTTGAAGATCTTCGAAAACTACCAAAATGCAAGGATCTTGAATTGTAAATCTGAAAAATGTGGCACATGAGGGACATCAATAATTCCAGTTGCTTTAACCAATTTTTCTATTAACCTCAGTATATATATATATATATATATATATATATATATATATATAATGATAATCATTTCATCCCAAACAAAACAATGAAACCTCTAAGACACTAGAGTTTACTGAGTGTTCGAGAATATGAGAAAGAGAAAATATATATATATATATATATATATATATATATATATATATATATAATCATTTCATCCCAAGCAAAGCAATGAAGCCTCTAAGACACTAGAGTTTACTGAGTGTTCGAGAATATGAGAAAGAGTATATATATATATATATATATATATATATATATATATATATATATATATATAATCATTTCATCTAAGCAAAGCAATGAAGCCTCTAAGACACTAGAGTTTACTGAGTGTTCGAGAATATGAGAAAGAGTATATATATATATATATATATATATATATATATATATAATGATAATCATTTCATCCCAAGCAAAGCAATGAAGCCTCTAAGACACTAGAGTTTACTGAGTGTTCGAGAATATGAGAAAGAGTATATATATATATATATATATATATATATATATATATATATAATGATAATCATTTCATCCCAAGCAAAACAATGAAGCCTCTAAGACACTAGAGTTTTACTGAGTGTTCGAGAATATGAGAAAAGAGTATATATATATATATATATATATATATATATAATGATAATCATTTCATCCCAAGCAAAGCAACGAAGCCTCTAAGACACTAGAGTTTACTGAGTGTTCGAGAATATGAAAAAGAGTGTATATATATATATATATATATATATATATATATATATATATATATATAATGATAATCATTTCATCCCAACAAAGCAATGAAGCCTCTAAGACACTAGAGTTTACTGAGTGTTCGAGAATATGAGAAAGAGTACTAGTAAGGAGAGAGCATAATAAAGAAATAAGAATTAAGAAGACAGAAGATAACGTATTAAATTTAAAAGCATTAATTTTTTGAAGATCAATATCTATTTATCTATCTATCTCCCGCGTCTATCTATCTATCTATCTATCTATCTATCTATCTATCTATCTATCTATCTATCTGTCTGTCATAAAAATTGACTCGAAAGCAAGAGGTCGGACGAAAGTTCCACAAATAAGAAGGGCGATAGAAGAAACTATTACCATAGAACTTGCGGTTACATCTAACCATTTCATCTATCTATCTATCTATCTATCTATCTATCTATCTATCTATCTATCTATCTATCTATCTCATATCTATCTCTATCTCTATCTATCTATCTATCAGAGACTCTATCTATCTATCTATCTCTATCTATCTATCTATCTATCTATCTATCTATCTATCTATCTATCTATCTATCTATCTATCTATCATCAGAGACTATCTATCTATCTATCTATCTATCTATCTATCTATCTATCTATCTATCAGACTGCTCTCTCTATCTATCATCTATCTATCTATCTATCTATCTATCTATCATCTATCTATCTACTACTCATATCTATCTATCTCTCTATCTCCCTCATCTATCTATCTATCTATCTATCTATCTATCTATCTATCTATCTATCTATCTATCTATCTATCAGAGACTGCTCATATCTATCTATCTATCTATCTATCGTTTACTGATCTATGTGCTTATCACAGACTACTCATATATATGTATCTCAGAGGACAATTGATATTGAATTTAAATTTTATAGATCAGTGTTTGTTGGAATGCATTAAGCTTGAAGGATGTTCCACACGCGAGAGAAGAAACTGTTCTCATAGAGATTACGGTTCAATCTAACCATTAAAAAATGTAAATTGATGATACCGTGTTGCCAGTATGTTACTGCCCTTAAATTTATAAAGTCGTGGTACCACAAAGGAAAGTTCATCAGAACAATTACCATGAAAGTATTTATAGAAAAGATATTCACACACACACACACACACACACACACACACACACACATACACATATATATATATATATATATATTCCAAAAAATAATTAAATCGTTCGAGCACTGTGTGAAGAAGACGCGAATTTGTAAACAGTCACTACTACTGCTGATAATGCAAGACTCACCAAAATAGATTGAGTTTTCTCGGTTACTGGCCTGTTTATGAAAAAATAAATACATAGAAATTCGCCTTTTCCACTGCCGGGCGTCGATAGCCTAGGAGTTAGAAACTACGACTGATACAGCATCGGTTGGGTTTCGGTTCCGGCTTGAGGAGGATCGGATGTCTAACCATACTGATGATCTGCAAATCACACCGTGTGTGTGTGTGTGTGTGTGTGTATATATATATATATATATATATATATATTCCACTTCAAATATTTGATGCCACCACTGATAATTTTTTTTTTTTAAATTGGCACAAAATGTAGTTGTTTTGTACTTTAAGGAAGAGAAAATTATTATACATGGTTTAAAAAGTTGTGACAGGATTTTTTATTTTGACGAAAAGAATAAAAAGAATTTTATTTTTAAATGTTGGTCTCGTCAAAATATCCTCATTTTGTCTTGATTACTGCAACAAACAATTTTGGTATTGGTTGTAAATGTTGTTCAAAGTTTGATAACTGATTCCATTCTTTTTTTTCAATGATCCTAAAAGCGCTTTGTTTACTCTTCTGTCAAGTTCATCTCATTTTATTTCTGGGGGTCACTTCAAACTTTTGAACAACAGTGTATAAAATATGTGTATTTATTCTTAATTTTCTTCCTTTTACGGAAAGAGACAAAAACGGAGAAGACACAAATGTCGTTATTCCATAAAAAGTTCGACATTTTTTTCTCTTATTGTGTAACCTCAAAAATCTACCTTTCTTTTTTAAAATTGTTGTTCTTCTCTCATTTATTTCCACTTCTCTTTCCTTTTCTCTCTTACTCTCTCATTCTCTCTCTCTCTCTCTCTCTCTCTCTCACTCTTACTCTCACACACTCTCTCTCACTTTCTCTCACTCTCACAAACACACTCTCTCTCTCACTCTTACTCTCACTCTCACGCACTCACTCTTTCACTCTCTCACACTCTCTCTTTCACTCTCACTCTGTCTCCCTCTCACACGCTCTCACTCTCTCACTCTCTCACACTCTCTCTTTCACTCTCACCCTCTGTCTTTCACTCTCACTCTGTCTCCTTTTCACACACTCTCACTCTCTCACACACTCACACACTACACTCTCATTCTCACTCTCAAACATTCTCTCTCTATCTTTGTCACTCTCTCTCTCTCTCTCACTCATTTGCACTCACACTCACTCTCGCTTTCACTCTAGCGCATATTCTTGCTCAGAAACTCTCTCTCGCTCTCACACAAACTTTCTCTATCACTCTCTACCTCTTACTCATACTCTCTCTTTCACTCCCGCTTTCACTTTCACTGTCTCTCTTACTCTCACTCACACTCTCTCTCACACTCTCTCTCTAACTGTTTCGCTCTCACTTTCTCTTACTCTCACTCTCGCTCGCATACACTCTCTCTCTCACTTTCATTCTCTCACTCTCGCACATACTCTCTTTCTCTCTTACTCTCTCTCCCTCTCTCTCTCTCTCTCTCTCTCTGTGTCACACTCTCACTCAATTAAGAGACAAAAATAAGTTGTACATACATGAAAAAACACACACACACACACAGACACTAAAATCGAATTAAGCTCCCAAGTTTTCTTAGAAATAAACACTGCAGGCTGGCGGTCAGTTTCCCGGCTGAAGTGATCCTACGATCATCTGATGATCCCTTAAAGCGTGAAACAGACAGTCACTATGTAATGTTGATTCCTATGCCAAATGTTCATGCGCACCCTCTTGATTTAATAAGTTTCATGCCTTGTTTACTTTAATTAATTTCTACTAAGCGAGGAGGCTGAAACAATTTAAACCATTAGTGTATGGCGCCCAATGTTTTAGAGAAATGGAATTACCGAAAATTTAAAATCCAAAATTAAGATCTTACCATTAGCCACCAAAGTAGATTTTGGCAAAAACGGCTCAACTTTTAAGGAAACTTTCTGTCGTCATGGGTTAATTTTTCTTGTTATTATAATCATGGAATAGATGACAAAACCCTTCAGCAATCGAAAGCCCCGCCGACCCGAGATGAGCTAGCAAATTAGTTCTGAAAAAAATCACGCCCCCTTCAAATTTTAGGCGAGTCTTTAAAATCCAGAAGATGGCTCGAAGACTTTTGTCTATAAGACATATAGAGGGTGTGACAGAAATTCCTTCCACATATACCTCCCAGAAATACCGCACACATAAAGCATTAGTAGCAATGCTGTCTTCATCTAGCTAATGTCTTATTATATGGGAGATATTACTGAGAGGTATAAATGGAAGGGACAAACATTTACTCATATTAATCCTCTCTCTCTCTCTCTCTCTCTCTCTCTCTCTCTCTATATATATATATATATATATATATATATATATATATTTCAAAGCAAAGCAATATATATATATATATATATTTCAAAATAAAGCAAAGTAACAGCGTCTGTTTCTAGCCTTTTTTTACAAAGAAAATTAGTGACATCTTCTTCTCTCTTCTCTCTTAACTTCCTTCTCTCTTTTTCTCTCTATGGCTTTTTTCTTCTCTACCCCTTCGATATCAATATATAACTTCCGTTAAGTTAACCGTTTAAATGTGTCAATATCTGCTAACTCACTCATGTCTTGTCTCCCCCCTCACTTCCTCACTTCGTTAATTTACATATGTTTAATACTACCCGTCAAAAATGTGTAAATTTTCTTTTCATTTTTTGTTTGGAAGTAAAGTCTGATGATCCACAGTCCTTTTGAAATGGCTCTGGTGAAATAATTTATTACATGGAACCTTAAAGTGGTCTGTTTTTATTTAAATTATTTGCTCTGAATTTACATTGAGCTCTCTGGATTTATCCTCCTTAGGGTTACCCATACGGATTACCTAGTTTTCAAAAAAATATATATATATATATATATATATATATATATATATATATATATATATATATATTCGGAAATTATAATATAAACACGTTATAAAAATTACTACAAATATAGCCATTTCCTTTCAACACTTCTGATGTCTTTTCAAGTGATGTACATTGTACAGAAGCGTTAAAAGAAAAGGGCTATATTTGTAGTAATTTCATAACATGTTTATATTATAATTTTCGAATATATTATATTTGCTCTACTCTGTATTGAGTACTTTTTAAGAATAGAATTTTTGGTTATTGGAATTTCCTTACAAACGTCGCCGTCGATAAAACTATCGACATAATCCTTAACTCTCTGTATAAATATAATTCTATCGCCCCTCCATCCATCAAACTAAATTTCCTTAAAAACTTATTGCATGCCTGAAAGATTAAAGTCCCTTTCTGCGACCATAATGGTTATATCTACACCTAAACGAACGGTATTAGTATGGGAAATCATTGGGCACGCACGTCTTCCACTAGTACGTGACACTAGTACGTGACACTAGTAGAAAACACGATATTTAAAGAAGTCACTAAACCCAAAATATATGTCCGTTATGTCGACGATATTTTTATTATAGGGAAAAACAAACAAAAAATTGATAATCTCAAAACAATATTCGAAGAAAACTTTGTCCTTAACTTTACCTCTGAACTCAGTCAAAAAAATAAACTCCCATTCTTAGATGTTCCCGTAGAATTCAGTAATAACACATTCACCATTTCATTATATAAAATCCCACTAGCAGAAACTTTTGCCACCTTAATTTTAATAGCGAATGTCCACTTAGGTATAAAACAGCAGTTATAAAAAATTTCCTAAAGAGAGCACACGAGAATTCATGCTCTCATTCTCTTTTCCTTAAAGAACTCAATAATTCAAAAGAGACATTAATTAACAATGGTTTTCCTAACTACCTCATCGACTACCAGATTAGACTATTTCTTTGTAAATAACTAATAACGATACTGAACATACAGATAAAAACAATATCATTAATATCATCTTCAAAAGCCAATGAACAACTCCAGCCAACCCGAACAAGAAAATTAAATTATCTATTACAAAAAATTCAAAACTGCTAACCTTATCATAAACCTGCAAAATCAAAACTACAAAGAACCAACATTATTTACGAATTCAAATGCACATTAAGGAACACTACTGCATCTAGAAGGCTTACGTTACACTTACCCGACAGTAGACCCATTAGGACTCATTTAAACAAACACAAATAACTACCAGAAACATACTAGTAGAAAAAACAAGTATAATAGCCTCATCCACATGTAAAATAATATTTAAAATAATGGAAGCCCTAATATTGAAAAAGGAAAAGCCAACACTCAACAACATTAGCTATGAACGCGGCCAGGATGCGTTGACCGTGTTCGGATATAAAACATTCCTATAACTTTAGGCACATATATAAAGAAACCACATATTTAATTAAAAATGAAAGAAGCCGGCCTTGATAATGGCTATAAGAATAGCCGAAAGCGTTTGGATTTGCAGAACTTTTGAACAATTTTTACACACTATGTGTACTGAGAAAAAAACACTTGTACGAATACAAGAAAAATTAAATAAAAAGTTTCATCTAAGTACCTAGTCAGTCGTTTTAACGAAACTTGTATAAAAGAGGAGTTACTGTCCAT